AACCGGCGCCCCTCGCTTGAGACATCCTCACAAAACCGGCCCCGGGGGAGGTGCCCAGAGGAGCCCAGAGCGGCCTCCGGCACCGTTTCCGGACAGATCCGGTGGATCCGCTGGATCCGGTGACGAATCCCAAACCGGCGCCCTCGCTTGAGACATCCCCCGAGCCCTGGATGCGTCTTAAAGAAGAAGCGCGCTTCTTTAAAACGGAGCGCGCGTCTTTATGAACGAGACACGCATCGTTTAAAACTTGCTTGCGTCATTATAAAGCAGCACGCGTCATCATAGGCAGCTTTTTTTGAAAAAAGACGTGCAGGGCGTCTTTTTTGTTTGGCCCCAATTGAAACGTGATATCTCCGTCCGCGTTCTAAGATATAACTACATGGAACCCTGAACCCTACCGCGCCAAGGGCATGTAAGTAGGGAGCAGGAGTGTACCGAGGGGCGCGCGCCCCTCGGGGCACTCCTGTTCCCTACTTGCAATCCTCTTCCACGCCAGCACCATCATTATGTTCGTTCCTCCTCGGCCTCTTACGTACATGCGGAGTTATGCGGTCATTAAATTGTAAGGACATCTCAAGCGGGAGCACGACCTTTTGAAATTCATCCGTGTTTCGACAGCAGTCCGCGCTACGTTGCGAACATGTCTCAGGCAAAACCTCTCGTCAGGAGGTCCGCCGCCTCGCTGAGGGGCCAGACGGGGGGCTGCCACCAGGCATTTCGAGAGAGGGGCAGGCGGGGATCTGCCGCCAGGCATCCTCCAAGAAAAAGCGAGCGTGGGGAAGGGCAGCCGAAACGCCATTCGAATAGCAGAATATCAGACGCAGCAGCTGCAAGGTTGCAAGAACGGGACGGCAGGGCGGTCAAAGGGGCGCCCTCAAGGCATATGTAAAATCAGGGGCGCCCTCGAGGCATATGTAAAATATCTCTGCGATCGCGTACTTAGTACTTCAAATGAACCCATTTTAGCAATACCATTGGCGCGAGATGGTTCGGGTGAAGGCTCTGTGCGATTTCTTTCATGATCTGTTGAAGGTCCTCATCACTGTAGGTCCAGAAATACCTCGGGTTCAGATGGGTCTGTTTTTCGCACAAATGGACGAATGTGTGAAACTTAGGTGTCATTTTCCAGGCTCGGATGTTCCGCCCCAGAGCTTCCGAAGATAGTTGTCCATATATCTGAACAAACGTGGGCCCCAACATTGATAATTCTCGCTTCGCATCGTTAGGCAAGTAGCGATCGTTCGAGTACAGCAGATGGTAGAATCTCGTAAGCAGCTGACACGATGCCAATCTCAACTTATCATGGCGTGTGTTCGTGTTGTGCTGGGTGGCCAAGTGAAGCGCGTACGGCACTAGGCAGCGGGTGGCGGCTGCCTTGGCCTGGGGAGGATGGCAGTGGGGGCGCAAGAGCAGATGAGGAGGAAGAGGAGGAAGATCGATGAAGAGGGGGTGAGGAGCAGGGAGGATCAAGAGGAGGAAGAACGATGAAGAACATGGGAGGATGGCGAGGAGGAAGAACGATGAATACGAGTAGGATGACACCCGAATCAGGCCTTCAACTTCGGCCAATCCTTCCCAGTTTTTAGCCTTGCGTATGAGAGGGCACCTTGAATCTTGTGCGGGTCAACTTGCGTGGCATACCACCTCTTCATATCCTTTACCAAGCCGTCCAATTGTGCTGATTGGGCTGCGCCCCAAACTCCAGACTGCATAATCTCAACGAATGTGTTCGCCACCAAGTGGCTGGCGATCCCCAAGTCAATCGTGTGAAGGATATCCACCATGATTCCCTCATACCGCAAAGTTGCTATGGCGAAAAACGGGCTAATTGGCTTGCCATTCCGAGCACATTGGAGAATAAACCCATTGTGATCGATTCCAGTCCCCCTCCAAGCTGCAAGATCGTCAGCGCGGGTGTAGCAGAAAGGGCCTGGTGCTAACGTGGCCGCGCACATGAAACAACAGTTCCGTTCATTCCACCTGTTGACGTACAAATAATCAGAATAGAATTCCCAATCACCTCGCATCTGAATGCACGCAAACGTGTGTCCACCGCAGAGAGTGCGTCCTGACTCGGGGTGGCGTTGATCTGAGTTGTACTTTTGATCGGGCATCCGACCATGCAGCAGTGCGTTAAAACTCCAAGCGATGCGATTGATCAATTGCCCAAACATTTTGTTATTCATCTCGCTCTTCCTGAAAACGGTGATCACTTCCCTCGTTACCTCGGTGCTGCCACTCCCAACCAAGCTGTTAAACTGCAGCGTGAAGAGACCTTCTGTCTTTGTAGTTGGGGCGCCGTCTCCATGGAGCCCCAGTGGGATTGTTGACGGCTTGATCTTTGAAGCATTGGCTCGAAATGATGGGGCGTCGCGCATCTTTTCCCCAAATACTGTAGTTTCACCAGGTTGGCCAGCAATCTGACCCTCAAAGATGGAACCGTCACTATTTCTCAATGCTTCGAGCGTGTCAATAGGATCAATAAAAGGATGAAACAATTGATGCCCAGCATCGGTGGTCAGTTCAATCCAGCTTGTTCTAGGCGCCGCTCTCGGATAGCCGACGGCCTTCAATACAGCGCGGAAGGCATGCCGAGGCTGGGCAGAGCCCCCAGCGTATTCTCCGACGCCCTTCGCCCCTTGGGCGCATGCTGCCCTGGCCAACTCGAGAAACAATGGGCTGGTGATTGTGCCTTTTGCCTTGTGCACCATTTCTACCAGCATAAGGTGTGTGTCGTTCAAGTAAAAAAGGGCGTTGGCTCTTCTCGGCTGGGGCCATGGCGAGCTCAGGCCTTTCCGCTTCGGGCCACTTTCGCGCGGTGGCCGCGAAAAAAGCTTCGTTCAGTTCCGAAACGGGCTGGGGGCTCTGTGGGCATTGAAGATGGCCGAGAAGCTGTCGTATGCCAGGGGGGAGACCTGAATCGGGGAGAAAAGGATGTGGGAGAGACATGCCTGGAGGGATTGTGGCGGTACACATGTCGGGTGTGATCGGGCGCATGCGGGGGAGTGCAGCATGGGTGAGGGAGAAACGGGCGGATGGTCTGACTGCAACTAACTACAGGAACTCTGCAGGGGTGGTGAAACGTGTAGGATGGGGGTAAGATCGGGGGGGAGACTATACTCACACTATAGAGTGGGAGGGATTTGCCTGCACTCGCAGACGAATGCCTTGGCCCTTGGGCGCCATGAGAACGATTGCGCACAAAATCATAACAGGGTTCATGATATCCACGCGATCTGCAACCTTGAGTTTGAGCCAAAGCGGCTACGCACGAGGAGGATGAGGATGAGGCGGAGGGGGTGTCAGGACAGAGAAGGGACCGAATGATATAGTTAGACTGGGCTGTGGAGACGGGTGTAAAAGCCGATCCAGGATGGGGCGCAACGTATTTAGGGCAGGGCTTGTAGACGCATGCAGAATGAACACGATGGAGACTGATGGCGGACGGGGGGATCTTTCGGAGAATTGTGACGCCCCTGGTGATGATGCGGACGACGGCACCGATGGCGATTTCACCCGAGCTTCATTGCGAGGATGTCTTGACCAATCTCTGGCGTGTCCGATCGCATCTTGCACGCAATCGAAAACTGGCCTCTCGCTGCTAGAACTGTTGGCGCGGCTGCTTGTCAAGATCCTAGTTTCTCTACTCGTCCTGTTATGTCTTCTCTGTTTCTCGTCCTTGCTCTCCTCCCTCATCCCTCTTATCCTTCATCATATTGCTCTCTCTTGTTTCTTATTCGCTTATCCCTCATGGTTTTGAGTGCCGCTCCCGCCATCCCCCCTCCCCCATCCGTCCCTTCCTCCTCGCTCCCCCCCCCCCTCTCCTCCCCCCATCCTTTCCCCCTCCCTTCCCTCTGCTCCCTCCTCCCCGTCTCTCCCCTCCCCGATCTGCTACCTCAAGTGCCTAGCGCTGGCATGCGCGGCCTCAGGCCAAGCGACGGTCTAGAGCCTCACCAGGCCATGAACTGGAGAGCCGTTCAAGGACTCAGAAGCGTAGAACGCGTCTACGAGGCCTTTCCCTTCTTCGCAGAGCTCTTAGGTACCAGCTTCTGGTACCACCCCACCATCTCGTTGAAGTGATCGAAGGCGCTGTCGAGGTTCGTTGACATGGCAAGCAAAGTCGGATCGTCAGACACCTTGTCGACGATTGCCTTCTCGATCTTCTTGTAGGTGGCAGTCAGCTCCGAAACGACCTTGGCCGATTCATCGTGCAGCTCCCCCATGAATTTCTTGCCCTTCGCGTCGACGAAGACCTCCTTCGCAGTGACCAGCACCTTGCTCACGTTGACTGCGACCTTCTTGGGATCCTTCTTCATGGCCTCCAAGGTTGCAGCATGTGGCGAGGTCGCTTTGTCTGCAGCGTCCTTGCTCTGAGCGCCCTCAGTGCCAGGTTCCTTCTTGATGGCGACGTCGGCCGAGCATGGCGACCCAGAAATGCAGGATGCCATGTCCGCGAACCTGTCCGCGGCTTCCTTCTTCTGCTCCTCGGATACCAGCTCGAACGTTGTCTGAATGTTGCTCTCGTCGACCGTGGCGTCATCGTCGCGCTCCGAGTCGAGGGTGACCCTGTACTCCCTGTTCCACATGTCGTCCAGCTTTGTGTCTGGATCAGGCCGATGGCGACCTGGGATTGCATCCAATACTCTGGCTTTTTCTTTTGCTTTTGCCTCCCCGAACTCGGTGATCATCTTGGAGAGGGACCACCAGTTCACTTCGGCGCGCTTCAGCTTGGACATCGAAGTCCTCCTCGTCGTCGACTCCTTGCCAGTTCCCTCGGCAAGCTTCTGAGCAAAATAACACTCAAAGAACTCTCTGCGTTTCGAGATCGGCCAGTTGTCGTACACGCCCTTGGTGCCATTCTTCTCCAGGAAGGCTGTCATGCTCGAGCGTTGGCGCTTCGCCTCGGCAGCGTCCTCCAAAGTTTGCACGGCCTTCTGGCGCTCAGCGGGGGTGACGCATGGCACCTCCAAGACCCTCTTCTTGGGCGGCATGGCGAAGATGGGCCCCGCAGGTGGGCCTGAAGTGATCAGACCTGAACCTGAACGGCTGTGAAAAAACAGGGGTGGTAAAAAGACAGGCAAAAGACAGGCAAAAAACAGCCTGTATTTTGTCTGTCTTTGGGTGGTTTTCCGTGTGAATTTACAGGGTTTGGGCGCCCAAAGACAGGCAAAATACAGGCTGTTTTTTTCCCGGCTTTTTCCCGGCTTTTTCCCGGCTTTTTTCTCGTGGGCGCCCTAGGGCCTTCCCCCGTCCTCTCCCCCCCCCTCTCCTCCACTTCCTCCTCGCACTCCCTTCCACCCACCAGTTCTGCTTGTTCTGCCTCTTGTCCACATCCTCGTTGTCATTCTCCCCCCCCCCCCTCATTCGCAGCCTGCCCATCTTTTCTCCAAGACGGCCTCCAAGACGACCACCAAGCCTCCAAGATGGGTTCCAAGACGGCGCCTCCAAGATGGCCCCCAAGTTGGCCTCGACGGGCCAGCCTACACAACATCCGAGATCGCCTCCGTTTTGGGCCCCAAGACGGCCTCCAATATGGCCAAAGACGGCATATGACATTGCCCTCGTGAGTTCTCATATCTGGTAGCCTCAACGCGCATGCCTTGCTTCTGAGATTCAGGGGCTGACTATCGTGCCAATCCAATGCTGAGGATCTCATGTATTAGGCAGTGCGATGTGTCTGTTGACGCGCGCTGGTAATGACGACAACAGTGGCGACGTTGATGATGACGTGGGTGTTGCTCAGGATGAACGTGGTGATGATGTTGATGATGTTTTTTTCATGCGCTACTTGGGCACCTCGCACTCGCTGCGACGGTTAAAGAGAAAGGCTTATTGATGGCCGCCTGTCTAAGCATGCAGCACCACTGGGAACGATCTGGCGACTGAGAGTGCGAAAGTGCTGCACGTCACGCATCGGAGGCCGACCGCTTCAGAATTTTCTTCGGCGGTTCCTCATCAGGCTCATTGACGGCATCGATTGTTGCCTTGAGCTCAGCAAACTTCTCTTCGAGGGGCTGGGGCGTGCGCTCCACGAAGTGCTTGAGTGAGAAGCTGCGCTCAGGCTCCGCAGAGTGGGCTTTCTCCATCTCTAGAGAGCTGTAGGCAGTCGCAATCTGCAGGGTGAGGTCCTCAGCGGCGGCGGCCAGCGAGCGAGTGTACTTCGACTTCAGGGCTTCGAAAGTGGACCAACTGGCGATCACAAGGTTCATCGAGGCGAACTTTTCGGTAATGGCAGAGACCTCGATCTCGTCCCAGTCATCGGAGCCGCCGCCGCCGTTGTCCTCCAGAGCGTTCGGGTGGGGGCCGCCAGCAGATGCCAGATGGAGAGTCCCTTGGCTGTCATAGTACTCGGACGAGGCGGCCTCGACATCGATCGGGGATTCGAGCTGCGAAGACATTGCAAGCACTCGATCGGTATCAACTCGCCGTGAAGCTGGTTAAGCCCAAATGGCTATGGGATGGGAGATGGGGAGGGGTGCTTTCAGGAAGCGCTGGGATGATTGAACAGTGCGTGGCAGGTGCGATGACGCGACGGCGACGGCGACGGTGGCCGCGACGGCGATTGCAATGACGACGTCGGCTACGATGGCGGCGGCGACAATGGCGGTGACGGCGACGGTGGCGGCGACGATCGCGAACGCCGTCGCATCAGTGACGATCGTCACTAATGCGACGGCGTTCGCGCTCGTTGCAATGACAACCTTGGGGGCCACTGGGCTTTGTAATGGCCTCGACGCCGAACGAACGTGCAGAGCTTAGCGAGACGCGGTAGTGACGATGATGGTGACGAAGGCTTGGTTAACGCATGCCATGCTAGAGCTCATGGTTCATTTATTGACAGCACTTGCAGTGGCGATTGCAGCGGTGGCGGCGGCGAAGTTGGCCGTGACTGTGCTCGCGACGACGACGACGCTGTTGGCAGCGTTATCTTACACGCTCTGAGCTTGCTCCCAGCGAGGCCCCCTCGGAGGACCCATGACGCCTCCAAGAGCCCCCCTCAAGAAGCCTTCAAGGAGCACCCGCGGAGCTCCCAGAACCCCTCAGCCGCCCCCAGAGATGCCCCAAACGCACAACGCAAGATGCAAACAAATGGGCTTCGTGGAAATCTATTCTTTGCTTCTCTGCCCCGCATTCCCGCACCTCGCATGCTCCTCCACCTCCTCCTCCTCCTTCTCCTTCTCCTCCTCCTCAAGGTCGGACTTCGGGGCTGTCTCAAGTGTTGTTTTCTACGATCTCTGAGCTTGTGCTAGTTGCCAGCTCCCCATCGCTGGCGCATGCGGTACCAATGTAAAGATGCATCGCTGGATACTATAGTGCTAGTGCGAGGCTGCCCCAGGTATACAAAGAAAAAGCACTAGCGATCAAAAGCCTGACAACTTGCGGGAACTCTGATGCCGAACTGCGCCTAAGCTGCTCACATCGAGCCGGCCTCGAGGGCCTTGAGGGCCTCAGCGCGGGCCCGATCCATCTCAGCCGTTTTTGCCGTCCCAGCCGCCGAGGCAGCTTTCTTCGCATCACCGTCAGACATGCCCTCTGCGACCTTCGCGTCGCGAGTGTGGTGCCATATTTTGCTGTGCTCGCGCTTCTTGTGTGCTTTGAACTCTGCGTCGGTCATGCTCTCCAAAGACGTGCTGGCAGCTGCTGGCCTCTTCAGAGCAGCAGCCTTCTTCTTGCCCTTCGTGCTGTGCTTGCCGCCCTTGCCCTTCTTCGTGGTCGCGGCCTTGGCCTTGGGCTTCGCCGCAGCCGCCGCCTTCTGCTTGTTGAGAGCCCTCCAGTCGTGGTCGCTCGGTGGAGTGAACGGCGCCAACGCGAGAGCTTGGATCTCCGCCGACGCCAACGGAGACGAGGCTGGCACTTGTGGTTCGGGGGCCGTCAGTGGTTGAGCATCTTCTGCTGGGTCCCCCGCCTGGAGGAGCTTCAGAAGGTCGGGGTCGGCACTGGTCAGGAGCTCGTCTGCGTCGAACTCACCATCGTCATCTGAGTCCCAGATCTCGACGGTGTCGGTGACAGCCTTCACGGGCGACATCACGACAATGTCATCGTCGGCGCGGGCCTCGTCCTCCTGCAGGGTGATCATGTCGAGCACGGACGAGAAAGATTCTGCATAGCCTGTCGGAATCGGCCTAGTCTTACTTTTCTGGAAATGGAGTTGGCTGATCAGCGCGCGCAGCTTGTAAGCTGCCTTCTCGATGACGGCGTCGGTCAGCTTCATATCATTCTCTGTCGCATACTTCTGGATGCCGTGCTGCAGCGATGTCTGCGTGACATTCAGGCCACCGCTGCGCTCAAGGATACACGAGACCACGTGGGCTAGTGGTTTGGCCTCTCTCCACAAAGGGGCCCGTCCGAACTTCATCTTCGAGTACAGTATAAAATCTCCGTTCTTGTGCTGTGATGCTGGCACGCGAGACATGGCCTCTGAAACGTGTTTCTCAGAAATCCTGGCATAGGAGAACCACGGCATTCGTAAAAACAAATGGGCACAGCACTGATGCCCTGGTCCAAAATGGCTATGTTAGACGGAAGGCGGTGCAACGGCCCAAGATAGGTGGCACCACGAGGGCCAACGTTAACGCTGGCCCGTTGTGCCACCAGGCTGCAAATTGTAGGCTGTTGGCCCTCGTGGTGCCACCAGGCTGTGTTAGAATCCAGCGCTGGATTCTAGCACAGCCTGTAAATTGTTGCTCTCTGTGCCACGGGAGGGGGAGCCGAACGCCAGCAACTTACCCATGTTTGGGACGCTTCAGTTCCACAAAATTCTAGCGGGGTTCTTTCGCTAAGGTCGCAATTCTGAAAATCGGCATTCCCCATCACGCGGACCGTGAAGGTGAGGTATCACAACATGTAAGGTTTTGCAACAATCTGGAACCTTGTGACAACCCTTCACGCAGATCGGCAGGGCCCAAATTGTGCCCTCCCGCCTCCGACCCGTGAGCCTTTAGAAGAAGACGCAGTCAAGTCCATGACGAAAACGCACAACCTCGAGATTATCCTCTTCCTCTTACTCTTACTCGTACTCGTCTTCTTAGTCTTACTCGTTCTCGATCTCGATCCTCGGTCCTCTTAGTCTTACTCGTTCTCGATCCTCGGTCGCCTTCCATTGCGCACGTTCTTCCTCTTCCTCTTATTCGTCCCTCCCTTCCTCCTCCTTTTCTTCCTCCTCTGCTTGCTCCTCCTCCTCCTCCTCGCCTCCTTTCTCCTCCTCCTCCTCCTCCTTCCCCTCCTGCTCCCTACTCCTTCTCCCCCATTCTCCTCATCCTGCTCCTCCTCCTCCTCTGTATTTGTCCGCGGCCGTGGCCCGTCGATTAATCGATTGTGTCTGAGCGATTGCCTGGAGGAGGGGCGCTAGAGGGAGGAGGGGGGAGGGATGAGGAGGAAGAGGAGGAGGAGGAGGTAGGGAGGAGGGACGAAGGATGAGCGGAGGAGGAAGGAAGAGGAATATGATGGGGGATGAGACAACGGAGGAAAAGTTAGGAAGTGGCGGGAGAAGGAGGATAACGAGGAGCAGAAGGGCACTGAGGGCTGAGCAAGGGGAGGAAGATGATGATGAGGAAAAGGGGACGGAGGAGACGAGGAAGAGGAAGGAGAGGGAGAGGAGGAGGAGGAGGAGGAGGAAGAGGAGGAGGAGGAGGAGCGAGCCATTGCACATATATCATCATTATCAGATCCATCCCTGCGGCCTCATGGAGGCCCTGGGGGAGGAAGGCGTCTTTTTTTGAAAAATGACGCCTGCGGCCTCTTTCTTAAAGTTAGCCAGGCCGAAAAAGAAGCATGTGGGGGTCGGGGTCCTCACAAAACCGGCCCCGGGGGAGGTGCCCAGAGGAGCCCAGAGCGGCCTCCGGCACCGTTTCCGGACAGATCGGGTGGATCCGCTGGATCCGGTGACGAATCCCAAACCGGCGCCCTCGCTTGAGACATCCTCACAAAACCGGCCCCGGGGGAGGTGCCCAGAGGAGCCCAGAGCGGCCTCCGGCACCGTTTCCGGACAGATCCGCTGGATCCGCTGGATCCGCTTGATCCGGTGACGAATCCCAAACCGGCGCCCTCGCTTGAGACATCCTCACAAAACCGGCCCCGGGGGAGGTGCCCAGAGGAGCCCAGAGCGGCCTCCGCCACCGTTTCCGGACAGATCCGGTGGATCCGGTGGATCCGCCGACGAATCCCAAACCGGCGCCCTCGCTTGAGACATCCTCACAAAACCGGCCCCGGGGGAGGTGCCCAGAGGAGCCCAGAGCGGCCTCCGGCAACGTTTCCGGACAGATCCGCTGGATCCGGTGGATCCGCCGACGAATCCCAAACCGGCGCCCTCGCTTGAGACATCCTCACAAAACCGGCCCCGGGGGAGGTGCCCAGAGGAGCCCAGAGCGGCCTCCGGCACCGTTTCCGGACAGATCCGGTGGATCCGCTGGATCCGCTGGATCCGGCGACGAATCCCAAACCGGCGCCCTCGCTTGAGACATCCTCACAAAACCGGCCCCGGGGGAGGTGCCCAGAGGAGCCCAGAGCGGCCTCCGGCATCGTTTCCGGACAGATCTGGTGGATCCGCTGGATCCGCTGGATCCGGTGACGAATCCCAAACCGGCGCCCTCGCTTGAGACAGCCTCACAAAACCGGCCCCGGGGGAGGTGCCCAGAGGAGCCCAGAGCGGCCTCCGGCACCGTTTCCGGACAGATCCGGTGGATCCGCTGGATCCGCTGGATCCGGTGACGAATCCCAAACCGGCGCCCTCGCTTGAGACATCCTCACACAACCGGCCCCGGGGGAGGTGCATATGTTACATGCTGCATGTATGTTACTTCTTCTTACTTATATCTAGCATCTTCATCAAAACTAGTTTACTTATATCTTACTTATATGTAACTTATATCTAATGTATAAGTCCGATAAGTCTGCTTTTTCGTATGGAAAATGGGGGGCGGGGGCGCTTTCAAAAACGCGTCGGCGTCGCCATCGATCCGCGCAGCCTGCGGGGCCCCGCTCCCGCCCCCCTCCTCTCCGCCCCTCCTTTTCCCCAGGCGGGATGCCGCCAGGCGGGCTACCGCCGCGCGAACGTGATTTTTTTCCAACACAACCAGACAGAAAAAACACAACTAACGAATACACACAAAGACAAACGCACAAACACAAAAACAGCAAACAAAGAAAACAACACACAACAAACAAAACCACTAAACAAGAACAACCAAACAGAACAAACACGAACAAAACAAAAGAAACAAAGGCAAACAGACAGTGGGAAGGAAGCGGCCCACCGCCAGGCGGTGCACCGCCGCGCGCGCGCGTTTTACACCAGCGCGCGGACCGACCCGTCCTCGGCTCGGCGGGTGTACGCCGCAGGCGCCCGCGGGGCGTCCTCAGCAGCCATCGCGCCGCATCCTATGGGGCGGCGGCGTAGTGGGCCATCCCATCCTCCTCGTCCCCCTCCTCTCCTGCCCCTCCTGTCGCTCCTTCCTCCCTTCCTCCACCTCTCCTTTGTTCTTCTCGTCGTTCCTGCTCTTTTCTTCCTCCTCCCCATCTTGTTCCTCGTTCGCCCCTCTCTCTCGCTGCCCCCCCTCCTCCCCTCCTCCTCTTCCCCCTTTTTCATGTTTCCTCCTCTCCTCTTTCCTCTCCCTCCTCCTCCCTCTCCTCCTCCCTCCATCCTTCCCTCCTTTCCTCCTCCTCCTCTCCTTCCTCGTCCCCCTCCTCCTCCCCTCCTCCTCGTCCCCCTGTTCCTCCTCCTCCCCCTCCCTCCCCTCCTCCCCCCCCCTCCTCCTTGCGCAGCTCGGTTCTCCTCGCGGCCGCCACGCGGACTCCCCAGGCTCCACGATGAGGTAGGAGCGCCCCGCGGCCACCGCCACGCAGTGGGCGTGGAACGCGGCGTCGCCCTCGAGCCACACGCCCCCGCTGCCGTAGACGAGGCCGCCGACAGCAGCTCGACGACAAGTGATTGCGCCGTGCCTGGATAGGCCCTGGTGCACGTGCGAGCCTCGGCGTTGCCCCGAGAGGCGCCCCCGCAGGCGCGCCCCCCATGGAGGCTCGCGCGTGCACCAAGGCCCAGTTGGCCCCAACCGCGCTGCCCGATGATCCCGTCGAGCTCAGGGGTCGGCCACCATTTGTGCGACTGGCGCGGCGCGGCCGAGGACTCGTGCAAGTACGTAGCCACAACTTGGGTGATCACATCCTTGTCCATGCCGCCCAAGCGGTCGTAGTGCTCCGCGGTGTCCTTGATGAGCTTGTGTTTTCGCTCGAGCACGAAACAGTCGAGCATCAACCCATCCTCCGCCGCCTGCACAGCTGCGTGCCAAAGATAATGATGCGTAGGCACGATCCACGCGTCCGTGTAGGCCCGCACGTGTTTCCTGAGCGCCAACCCGACATGGCGCTTGAAATCAGCATCGAACGTGTCTGGGCAGCCGCCGCGTTTCGCCGCCAGGTACAGTTCCAGGACGGCATACATGGCCTCAAAGGACCGCGCCTGGGGCAGGAACGGCGCGTGATGCGGCAAGAAATCCACGTGCAGCCAGTTCCTGAGGAACGGCAGGACGGCGAGGCAGTCCGACGCGGAGCCGACGAAATGCCCTGCCTCGACGCAGGCTTTCTTCCTGGCAGGGGAGAAGAGATGCACGGGAGCTTTCCCTCCGCCGCGGCCTGGAGCCCAGCGCTGGAAATCGGTTCGCCACCGATCCCACACGTCTGGAATCACGCGCGCCACTGCTTTGTGCAGGCAGAACACCTCCACCTGGAACGTGCCTCCGCTCGCCAGGATGATGTGCATCGGGTCGCGCGTGTACATGTCCAGCGAGCAAACGCGTCGGAGTTCGACGTCGGCCATCAACGAGAACTCGTTCACTGTGATGCCGTACGCGGATTGGAGATTCTGGAAGGCCACTGCACTCGCCGTGCGTTGAAGTTCCACGAGTTCGTCGTACCCCTTCGCGAACTCCTTGGCGGGAGCCGGCCGAGCGAACTCCGCTCGCGAATTCCAGGGAGTTCGCGAAGTCC